CATTATTCTTTTTATTTTATTTATTATGTTGTTAGAATGGTTCGATAGTTCAGCAACTCACAATGATGGTTCAGCAACTCAATATTGGTTTCGTTGATAACGATTCTAGGAATACATACTATTCTCTATTGAATGTTTGCGTCCATATCTAAGAATTACTTCCGGAACCGCGCGTTCGATAAGGAGGGAACTCGAGCTACAAGAAATTTGAAGCGAAGCGTGGTTCTCCTCGCGCGTTGCATGCGTCCTCGAGGGTGCATTTCTGGAGGCACCGAAATAGGTTTAATGACGAGGCTCAAGGGTGCACTAGCAAACTCTACGGGCTACAAAGTGGGCGTATTGTCCTACCGTGATGCACGATTCACGCATCACTACGTCTTTAAACTCGCCGCTTATTGTCAAGAGCCCTCATATGATGAGCCAGACGGATGAATCGCGACAGTAAAGCCAATCAAGGCTATATCGCTCATTTAGCCGACTTGATACGTGGGTTCCACGCTAATAATCCGTTAATAAGAGCAAGTTACGATAGCGATAGCAATAAATGCTTCCATTACGTTATTATGAGCGCAAATTTCTGTTAATCTGGCGTTATTAAAGAAAATGACAAATCTTAAATATATTATAAAAGTAGTATTATTTTTACAATCACTTTGAATTTGTCGTGGTAAAAAAAACTTTTAAAATTTTTTTTGATAACTTTATTGGCATAATTTAAATCCAAAGAGATGGCCAGACATTTAAATATTAAAATTTAAAATATTAAATTTAAACTATTAAAATTTTAATTTAACATATTCTAAAAATGTCATATATTGTTTCGACTTAATTTTTATATTTAAAAGCTGGGATTATATTAATTTTGGAAAAACGCAAAAGCGACCGGTTCTATAACGAGGCTACAATGTTAGTAATATTTTGGTATCGTGTCTTTTAGATACGTAACAGATGGAGTGACCATCAGCAGACTCCAGTGACGTTAATTGCTGATCAAAGGGTCAGATTATGCAACGGTTGTGCTTCATCTGCGCTTCCTGACCGATGCATCTCTCTAACTATATTCGATCCAATCTTCGACCGATTTCACATTACATCGAACAAAGTACTCGCCATACGGTCAAACGATATTTCGGCATAACGGCATTATACATCAACAAGGTTGTACAGCCTCTCCTATGGATTTGCGGCTAGTTCAAAAAGCGCAGAGTCAAAATTATTGTTGCTAATCATCTGTCTTCCATTGCAGGGAGATCCAGGTTCAAATTCTAATTAATGGGATAATGCTTTCTGTAATAAATTTATTGTAAGTTTAAAAAATACTTATTAGCATCAGTAATATTAAATTAATTATTAATTATTAATTTAATAATATTGATTTAATAATATTATATAATATCGTTAAATGCCCAACTTTGAAATAGACATTTGAATAAATAATATTTAATAATAAAAAACATTTGAATATTAATCAGCACGTGAGTTAAAAACAAAAACAAACTGTATAAAATCTACAAAAATTACTAATGTTATATTTTATATTAATAATAATTTTATTAATATTAATTTTTTTGGCACAAGAGACCTCGCACTAAATGTCGAAATATTCTTTTATTCTGTGTC